CCAGGGACCAGGTGGACTCTGGGGATGTCAGAAAAAGCAAAGGATCAACTACTGTTCTGTCTATTAAATGGGGGACTGAATCGCAGGGATAATGTGAACTCTGTCCAGCTGTCCACTCTGCCTGGACAACTGGACAATTTTATTCTAGACAATTTTGTGATAAAGGGGCGACTCCAGCCCTTCTCTGGGTTTCACAGCTGCACTGAACCCATCACTGAGTGCACCGTGGTGCTAATGGCAAGCTGCAGCCCTCATAGATCCACCCAATAAATCTGCAATTATAGTATGACAGAGCAGAGACTGTTGATGTCTCTCACAGCAGAGAAGGGGAGGTTTGAGTCCAATAAATAGAAAGAGAAGACATTACTAAGGTGACTAAATATATGTAGACACTCCATATTTTATCTGTCTATCCTGGTGGCACCTACTGCTGCTGGGAATTCATCTGTGTAAGGAAGAAAGAACAGAAATGAGCAGCAGAGTCCTACAATTTGCCTGTTCTGCTGTTCGTAGCGTGAGTGTGGTGTGACTCTTCACAGAGGTGAGGAAGGCTGGAGCTACACTCAGGTACCAAACTTATGGGGACCCTGCCTCAGTGACTTCAGACATTACAGTGTGGTTGACAGTGTATCAGTGAGCAGAGAAATAGAATAAGCCAACGCTGATGGAAACATCTAGAGGCCCTTGGTGATGGTGGTGTTTCTTCCCTGTATCTGGAAAACTCTTCTCATGGACTTTTTTGGGGGAGAAAATGAAAAGTGGCTGTGAGCAAAACATGCGGTGTAGAGTCAAGGCAGCATTTCATTAGCATGATGATTAGATTTGGTCTGAAATCCTGATGAAAGCAGATCTTGGTAACAACTAGAAATGAAATCCCTGAAGCAGTTTTGTAATGCAAGTATTTGAGGAGACCAAGTAGCTCCAGGCAGCAGAGACATGGCTATGATGAATTTAATAAGCAGTGGGAACTTTGTTTATATCAGATGTAGAAGGAACAGCCCAAAGCCAGGTTGCTATACCATATTGTGGTAGTACATATTTTATTTAATATTGAGTGCTATATCAGAAAGAATTTTCTTCAGATCCTCCCTTTGCTCCTCAGTTTTAGTTTTTCTCTCATCTGTTCAACTCTCCTTGATGTTTGATACATTTTTCATCCTCTGTCTTCCCTGGACTTCGCCTTCCTACCTCTTTTCCAAAAATTTCCTATGTGAACAATGGTCTCAAGAACTTGAGGTTCTCACTGAGGCTTTGATGCAAGGGTGTTTCAATGTCTTAGCCTCTATGAAGTCCATCCCACAGCCAACCATTAGGTTCAGTGGGACTCTGATAATGCATGTGCCTTAAACTAAATTTCTGTGAGAGACCAATCCTGAAGCCATCCTGAAGCCCCATGGAAGTTTTGGAGACTGGTTAGATGAGTAAGAGGGGAGATGACATTGAAGGAGACACGTGGTGTTGGAGTGTCCAGATCGGTTTCAGAGGAACTCAACTAAGGCTCAGCCATTTCTCCTCAAGATTCTCAGGAAGGAAGAGAAAACATCTTGGCTTTTAGGACTGGTGTCTTACTAGAGTAAGTTACAACAGTCAATGAACTGAGCTGTGGCTTTATTAGGAAGCTCACAGAAATTGTGACTATTTCTCTTTGTTTCTGACACTTCATTTAGGGAGCGCAAGCAGCCTGATAAGCGCATTCCCCAAACACAGTGCTTTCAGCCCTGCCAGCTGCTCTAAGTGTATTTTATCCTGAGGCTACGGAGTCCTTTTGAACTCTGGATTTGGAAGAGACATCTCAAACTAATGGCCAGTCTGGTCACTATGTGGCAACAAGTGATTGAGAACTGAGCACTCTGAGAAATCTTGTTTTCCATCAACCATGGCCAAAGATTTTGAGCTGTTATAAATGTCCCCACAGTATAGCACAAAAAACCCCTCTTTATGATGAAGCAATCAAAAGCTTCCAGGCTATCCAAGTCAGTTGAGAATCTGTGAGAAACTCTATAAAATAGTCTTTGCATGCCGGTAAAATTTTCTATTGATGGAATTCTGCAGTAAAGGTTAATTCTAGGACGAGTCCCTCTACTTATGTACCACAGAGCTACTCTTCCTAGAAACCAGTGTTCATGTCAAGAAATCACTTCTCTAAATTGCAACTTGAAGTGACATTTGGCCCATTAGTACATGGAGAGTTAAAGCTGACTATGATCATTCTTTTATTACATTCTCTGGCCTCTAATATCTTTTAGTACTTTCAGTACTCTACTCTGACTGTAACTGTTTTGTTCCAGGGGCCAGCAATACAGCCCTGCTATTACATCTTGGCATCAACAGGAAAGGGGCAGAAGACAACAGCTGCATGAAAATGTGCTTTTTGCAATACAGAAGGAAAGCTGGCATGATACAAGCCTTCTATAAGATTAAGGGTGGGCTGGAATCCAGATTGAATTTTGTCTAGCTACACGAGCATTGCGCTTTCTGTCCCTGTTGCTGGCAGCTACTATGGCTGTAGCTTGGACATCATTCACATGGAGGTTTGGAAGAATCAGACTTGGAGCATCTGTTGATGGACTGTGCAGCTGCACTACTTGTGCCCAGGCCTGGAGAAGCTTCTAAACAAGCCAGACCTTTGACTTGCCTCAGCCCTGACCCTGCCCAAGCCCTTTCCCTGCACATTTTCCTAAAACTCAGGCTGAGACAATCTCTCAAAGCAGGCTTAGGAACTTGTAATGTGAGCAATGGGTGAATTTGGTTTTGAATAGGTGGGACTTATATTGAAATAACATTGTTAATGAGTCTAATCATCTCATGACCTTCATCCAGCCCCCCAGGCTGCAGGGACAGGCACCCTGTGCACACATGGCTGGTTGCCATGAAGGGGCATCATGGAGGCACTGGGCCTGATGGCCTTTCCTGTTCCATCAGGTGACAGCAGTCAGTGCAGGTGGGTAGGGAGGAGGAAGAGGTTTGGCACTGAGCTGCAGCCATAGAGGTCAGATCATTGCTGTAGGTATATCCTCTGGGATTAATTTAGATAGGTGTAACAAGGCCAGCTCCAAAACTTGAAGCACTCAGGACTCATGACCTGAAACTTTCCCCACAGGGCTGGTGCCCCTGCCGTTGCCTAAAGAGAGGAAGAATGAAAAAAGCTGAGATTTATTCTTCTTTTGAAAGAGATTATTTCAAATCCACCTCCAACGCACAGAGGCTTTTATACTAAAGGCTATAAATAGCAATAATAGCCCAAAGATGTAGGAGACCCAGGTCTGATTCTCTCTGCTTCCTGAAAAGATTAAAACTTGCTGTCACTTCCTCTTAAGAAAACAGGCCACCATAGAGATGGGGTGAATATGGAGAGGATCTTTCTGTTTCTAATTCTGTATTTCAGCATCGACACTTCACCTATGTGTCTCCTACTTTAGTTGCTTGAGTCTTGTTTTTGACGTGGTACTTGTCCTGCATCTCTTTTGCTTGAAGACCTACCACAGTCCGTTAAAGAGTCCTTCTGTCTGTATCTTTTCAGCCAAAGCCATGGTCCACCCCAAGTTTACATCTCACGTCCAGCTTTGGGGTGTCAACAAAACCCCTAAGTGAAGGTCATTTGTGTATGGCACAGTCTTGTCTGCAGCAGCAGTTGGGTATAATTGCAAAACATCTGGAGACAAGGGGAGAAATGACTGTGGTCGAAAATGGGTTTCAAAAGCTCTGAGCAGTTTATGTGAGAAAACCTTGTTTCCATTAGTAAAATATAGATTTGTTATGACATTGTAAGTCTTGGCTGTGATACGCACAATATTTCCTTGGAATATCTGGCAGCTATATCACTCTTTAATATATCTATTAAATACTACATCTAGATGTAAGAGCAACCAATAAAACTTGTTTATTTACCTTTGAAACCTTTGACAGAGTAAAGCATATCACTCTCTAGATATATTTCCACATTCATATCTACTAGATATTTGGAATGGCAGCAATAAAAGAAAAAACTATAGATTTTCCTTCCAGGTCTGCATTTACTGTGGACAAAACAAAGACTATGAAAATGCATTTATTTATGTATCTATTGCTGCTATCTTTTCAATGCACCTAAAGTAAGAATCAAAGCGTTACCCTGATGTGCTTGTACAATTGCCTAAAATACCCAAGAGGGACAAATAATCACGATCTTCACAGAGGTCTTCTCCTGTAATCAATCTTCAGAAAAAACTCAGCATTTTGATTTTATTGGCATTTATGGTCATATTTATTGTCCCTCTGCTGGGACAACTAAGGATTTTCTTGGCTGGCGCACGCATGTACACACACATACCTTCCAGCGTCTCTCAACTATCAATTCACAAAAAATTGCTTTCAATTCCGAAACTATAGCATTTCAAACAAGAGTGGATGAAATAAAGTAGAACATTAAAACAGCCTTGTGGGTTCAGACAAGTGCACAGCAACCAGGAAAGCCAAGAATAAGAATCTTTTTGCTTTACTGCTTGATGAAGGTTGCAGTCTCCTGGTGACTTGTTTTCTTAACTTTAATATCTTTTGATATTTTTCCAGTCCTGTTATAGCCAGAGCTTTAGACACATGAAATAGCTTGTGTATCAGGAGGAGCAAAGGGCAGCTCGACCTTGTCTCTTGTCACTTTTCCGTTTGCTCAGCAGGAGACAACACACTGTGTTAAATCGCTAAAGTTTATAACAAGATGAATCAAGGTGGAGGCTCGGAAAAAGGAGAGAGATAAAAAGCAAGCATGTACTTTTTGTGATTCACTTGAATCTCTTCAAATAACTGAAGAAGCACATGAACAAGGGAGGATTTTGTCATTTTTTTCCCCACAGCAAACGTAAAAGAGATTGTGATCTTCCCCAGGTAATGCTGTTAATACAGTGACTAGATGAACTAGGCTTACTTCTGATCTGAAACACTGAAGAAGCAGGTTATATTAAGACCTGAAATTGTTTCTTATTTATTTTCCCTCCTCCTCTTGTTTGTTTGTGTAATTTTACAAGGTGACTGCTGAAAGAAAGCTCACAGAGGAGGCTCAAGCAGCGCCAAAGGAGGAGAGAAACAGGGCAACTGGAGGGGAAGGTGCTCCACGTGCAGACCTGTTCTAAGTTAACAACCTTCCCAGTGTGTCCTCCAGGTAATCAGACAGGCATTAATTACCAATTCAGGGTTTGTATATGCTAAACATGTACACATGCTCATGTAAATGAGCACATAATAAACAGAAATGACCATGTATATGGTAATTTTCTAAAAGGGGAGTGAGAGGGAATTTAGGTGCAATTCATAAGAGAGGAAAATGTTTCCATATTTTTTCCTGTGATGATCAGTATGCAGTTCACAGTATATCTGTTTGAGTGTATGTACATTATACACTCTTACAAGTCTTATCATTGCATAATCAATGCCTGGGAATCATTTAGCAAAGGGTTTTGATAGTTTCCATTTTGGGAGTCAATTTTCTAATGAAGACAAAGTTTTATAGTAAGACTGAATGGAAACCAAGATAAACATGCTAAATCCATGATACAAAGACTTACAGATAATAAGTCCAGAACAGTGACAATGATAAGCCAGTCTCACCTGGCCAAGAGAATCAGAGAAATTCCCTGGACAAACATTCATTGTTCATCTAAAAAAAAATTTTCAGTGATGGAGAATCTGCCATCAACAAACATTCATTGTTCATCTAAAAATTTTCAGTGATGGAGAATCTGCCATCAACCTGTGCAAGTTGTTCCAGTGGTTAATTGATACCACTGCTGAAATGGTCCAGACTATTTCTAATGTCATTTGATCTATCATACCTCCATCTGCTAGTCTCAAAGCCCCAGGACCAGAAGACTGACTCTTTTTGTGACCAGCCAGCCCAGGAGCTCCCTGTGCTGTGCTAACACCTGCACTGCTTTGTAGTGACTTCTGTGTCATGAGCAGTTCACATGTGACTGTTGATGAACCCCAACACAAAGGATGTCCTGCAAAAATGTCCTGTCCAAGAGGCCCAGCCTTTGTGTCCATGGAACCTGTTGAGTAGATAAGTTGTATGGCTTTGGAATGAGCTCAAAATTTAGATGTGTTCTTGGGAAATGGTGTTCAGCCTTCTTTTGTGCCACTGCACTGTCTAGGTCTTGAAGGTCTTCCATGTTTTGGAGGACTTAAAATCCACAATCAAGTTCTGTTTACTTTTAATATCCTTTCTAACCAGAAAGGCTAAGGAAACTTTAAAAAGTCTATTTACTCAATGAAATATGGGATTTGGATGTAAAAAGCTACAAAACACTTGCAGTTCATTTTATTTTTCATGGATGTTGTATTTCAGATATTTTTTTGGTATTTGCTCTCCGTGCAGCAAACCAACAGACAAAACACAGTCAGGACTGGAACAGGACTGAATGTGCTTCAGGTGCAACTCAGCCGGGCACGCTCAGGTATGTGGATTTAGTTATGTCTAATGCTTTGCACGCTGGGAGAGTAAAAGTCTTGTGCAGACAGTATTTGTGTGTGTCAGCTTTGAAAATAGTGAATCAAATTGACAAGTTCAACAAGTCACTTCTGTTCAACAAGTCACTTCCTTTTGTGTGTTCATACATTGATACGCCTTTCAGTAGGAATTTCCTGAAAGGGTTGCAATTTTACCATTTGCAGGAACAAAAACTTACATTACTATGGAGACGGTTGTAACTCGGGACAAGATGCTGGTACCCTCCCTTTGCAGATGAAGGTAGAGAGCCTCATCTGAGGCTTCTGCCATGGGCTGACCTTCAGCAGACATGAACGAGTGTAAGCAGCAGCTCAAGTTAAGTCACTCAAGGCCCTGTTGGGATGCTGTGCTGCTTGTTGACATGGCAAATGTGACTGCAAGGCAGTGAGGCCTATCAGTGGGAGGTGCCACCACTGAGCTCTGAGGCTCTCCATACCTCCAGTAGTCTACAACTACCTGAAAGGAGGTTGTAGAGAGGCAGGGGTTGGCCTCTTCTCCCAAAGGACGAACGACAAGACCAGAGGAAATGGTCTGAAGTTGGGGCAGGGGAGATTTAGATTAGATATTAGAAAGAATTACTTTACTGAGAGAGTGGTCAGGCCCTGGAACAGCCTGCCCAGGGAGGGGGTGGAGTCGCCATCCCTGGAGGTAGTTAAGAAACGTGTAGACATGGCTCTTCAGGGCATGCTCTAGTGCCCAAGGTTATTGGTTTATGGCGAGGGGTTGAGTGTGGGGTTTAGTTGGTGGGTGTGGTGTTTTTGGTGGGCGTTTGGTGTGGTGTGGTGTGTTTTTTGGTTTTTTTTGGTTTTTTGTTGTTGGGTTTTTTTTGTGGTTGGACTCGATGATCTCAGATGTCCCTTCCAACCACTAAGATTCTGTGATTCTGTGATTCTGTGAAATGGGATCAAATACAGGGAGAGAACATCAAACTTTTCATGCCCATTTTCAGCTTCCCAGGGGAAAATGGCTGAAATACAGAGGGCTGTGCCCAAATGTCCGTGGGTGAATATGGAAAGCACTGCTGGAAAACACCTCCCAGCACAGACCTGGGCATGTCAAAGTACGAAGGGAAGGAGCCCTACACTGCCTTCATGCTCTTCAGTAAATTGCCTTCACTTTTCTGAGTGTCCCTCATGCAAATGTCTTTCCAAAGGGGCAGTTGAGGAGAGCTGGAAATGGTCACTATAAAACCAGATGTCTAAGTTACAGCCCTCATTGACTTTCTCTCCATTTACAGTCAGTGGAGAGAGGTATTTCAGAAAGTTATTCAGAGCTTCAAACAGTGTCTGTTATTTTCCAGTGATGGACTCCATGGGGAATGACAGACTCCTGAGCTCCTGACTCAGGTGGTGGATGCTGGTTGGGTGGTGTGGGTTCCCCACCACCACAGACACCACACTTGGTGCTTCAGTCTTGCAACCTGTTAGAACTGAGGGCAGTTTTATGACAGGGCTTGCTCTGGGGTGTTGTTAGAGCACAGCCATTAGTGTCTGCAAATTGCTCTGAGAGGAGCCATTAGAAAACTGTAAAGTGCTATTACTAAATACCCACTTACATTTTAAAAGAGGAAAACCAAATGCTCTTGCAGTTGAAAATTGCATGTATTTTAGACAAAAGATATAAATAATGAAAGGAAAGTATCCAAGAGAGAGCACCATACTGGCCAGTCCTTTGTAAAAAGTTGCTGAAGGAGGAATGATCTGGCTGCTAAATGTCGGGAAGCACGAAGGTTGAGTGCATGGATGACAAAAGTCATCACACTTTCATGTTCTGCATCCCTAAATTATGTGGTGTTTCAGAGCTAGTGAGTACCTTTTCATAAAGGAGGAAACTATTCTTGAAGACAGTTTGCTTCAGCAGCTTTCCTAGAATCTCATGAATTTGTAGAGCACAAAACAAAACCAAAAAAAACCTCTAAAATATTTTTTTTTTCATTGCAGAAAAAAAAAGAACACGAGGCTACAAAAGTGTATCTATCTCTATATATATTTTTTTCCCACAAGGCCCCTGATTTAATTAGTGGAGTCACCAGAGACTTTGAAAGAAGCCTTCTACAGAACCCTTTTCCAGACTCTGAGGGATGGAGGTAAAAATAGATTTTAAATTGGTCTTGGGGAACTGCTGTTTACTTTAGAGGTAGATTAAAAAAAAAAAAATTTACTAATGAACACTAACGATGCCTTATTCCAAGTCTTTGTCAACTCAGTCCCAATTACTCCACTTGCAATCTAGCAACACAGGGCAGCACAGTCATAGAATCAAATAATCACAGAATGGTTTGGGTTGGAAGGGACCTTAAAGCCCACCCAGTCCCATCACCTCCCCTGGGCAGGGACACCTCCCACCACACCACGTTGCTCCAAGCCCCCTCCAACCTGCCCTTGAACCCCTCCAGGGATGGGGCAGCCACAGCTTCTCTGGGCAACCTGGGCCAGGCTCTCACCACCCTCACACCAAACAAGTTCTTCCCCACATCTCAGCTCCATCTCCCCTCTTTCAGGGTCAAACCCTTCCCCCTCTTCCTATGGCTCCCCTCCCTGATCCAGAGTCCCTCCCCATCTCTCCTGGAGCCCCTTGAGGGACTGGAAGGGGCTCGAAGGTCTCCCCGGAGCCTTCTCTTCTCCAGGCTGAACCCCCCCAACTCTCTCAGCCCCCCCTCCCAGCAGAGGGGCTCCAGCCCTCAGGTCCTTGGGTTGTTCCACAGCCACTGATAGAGGGGCTCCAGATTCACATTAGCACAGTCATCACAGCGTAACCCACTGCTGGGATATAATTGAAAGCCCCTTCCTGATTCCAGCAGCAGTAGCAGAAAAGGAGATCACAGCGTTCTCTCTGGATGTCTGCAGAAGACAAGGGCCATGCAGAGCAGCAGGTGCTGTGCACTGCTGTTTTGGGGAATTAAAGCAGCTTTCTCTATCGGTGGCAGCTCTGTTAGGGTCATACAACCATAGAAGTGTTTGTGTAGATGGGACCTTTAAAGATCATCTAGTCCAGCCCTCCTGCAATGAACAGGGACAGCTGGGGCAATGGTCTTGTGGATGACTGTGGCCATGCTGCTTTCTGTAGCCTATTCCATGTTATATTAGAGCTTGCATGCTGTACAGGACAACGTAGAACCAGAGGTGATACAGAGGATTGCATTTGATTTCTTCTCATCTGTTCTCAGGATGTCCCTGAGGACTGCTGGCTGCACGGATCAATCTGCTTTAGGGACCATCTGCTCCTGAATCAGCTGGTGGTTGCATCCAATGACACCCAAAAAAGTTTGTCTGAGCATATTTGCTTTTGCAAGCCTGCTGTGTTGGCAAGGCATGGAGGTTGAGTGGGCTGGAGGGGTGGCAGCAGTGAAGAGGAGACACCAAGCAGTCAGGTTTGTGGCTGCTCCTGTGCTCCCCTGCCTCATGGAGCAGCACCAGCATAACTTCCAAGATTGAACTCCCCAGGCCTTTGCCACATGGCCATTCCTGAACACAAGCTGGGGCTCAGTATCATCCTTCGGTCACAGATAAGGAACTGCTGCCTCCTCTTGCAAGTCTTCAGTAATTTTATAAGGAAAATCTTACCAGCTGGTCAAAAGAGGTGATAATGCTGCGATATTCAGCGTTGGTGGGGCCTTGCCTGTGCGCAGTGCTGAGCTGCACGACTGAAAAAGGATGTGAAGGGCCTTGAACGCTCCAGAGAAGGGCAAGAGGCTGGAAGGCATGTCCTCCAGGGAGTGGCTGAGGACCCTGGGTTTGTCTAGTTTGGTGTAAAGGGGGCTGGGGGGTGACCTCATTGCTCTCTGCAGCACTGGAGGAGGTTCAGGCTGAACATTAAGAAGGGTTTCTTTACCGAGAGTGTGGTCAAAGACAAGAGAAGATGAAAAGATTTATTATTGAGAACAACAAACAACGTACTATTATTACTTACTCCTACACTGTGTCTTTCTACCTCTATGATGCTCACTTGCTCCCTACGATCTCTGCTATGTCTATTCCCACCCCCAACTCCAACCCCCGCTGGGGGCAGCTGCGGTGTTTGGTCCGTAGGTGCAGGCTGGGCAGTAGCAGCAGGTTGGACTTCGGCAACATGGTGGCCCTGGCATGGGAACAGCAGGAGCTGGTGCCAACGTGCCCATCACCAGCCATGGATTGCAGAATATTGGCAGGCCAGCCCCAGGGACCTGCACAGCAGCAAAATTTGGCCACCCAGGTGGAAATATGGGGTGTTCCATGGCTGGTGTGAAGGGACTGTTTGGGGCAGGAGGTGTGGCATGGTATGGTGAGGCCATGGCTGGAGCAGGAGACACCTCATGGCTGCCCATGGGGCCATGGCTGCGGTGCCGTTTTGGTGGAGCTGGACCCATCTGGGCGGTTGCATCAGCCCATGGCTCGGTCGGGGTGGAGCTGGTGGTTGCGTATCTCTGGGTGATGTTCTCCTCCACAGCTCCCATGGCTACTTGGCTGTGACGTTGTCTTTTTCTTGGCTGCTCTTCCTTCACCTTGGTGCCCAGTGGGGAAGCAGCTGGGGCTCTCCTGCTCTCACCAGCACTTCGTGTAAATGTGCTGAGGAGGTTGGGGTCATCTCTCTTAAAAAAGGGGTTGTAGTAGAAGAGCAGCTACAAAATGCAAAGGAGAGGAGTTAGTTGCCATCATGTCAAGAAGGAGAAAGACAGAGATCCAATAACTAAGCATCTGTGTCAGCAGAGACAAACATGGGTATTAAAAAGGACTCTCCAGGGCGTTTAGACCCTTATGTTTTGACTAAATAATGCCCCGAGGGTTCTTTGGTGCGCAGGGGAAGGGACGTACCTTGCCCAGAGCAGCCCCTGCTGCTGCTGCTGCTACTGCTTGCAGCTCCTTGATGGAGATGGAGATGAGAGAATCCCCTTCCATTTTGGAGAATCCATGGAGGTTCAGTTGGAGCACAAAGCCTCCCATGGAGGTGGTTTCAAAGATCTTCAGAGGTCCACTCCTCCCCAGCACTTCCTCTCTAAAGAGCTTTTCTGCGATCACAATGCAGTTTCCATCGTCGCCCCACCAGATGGACTGGAAGTCAGGGCTGCCGACGATCTTCCAGAGGTTGTAGAGGAAGGAGTCAGCTGGAGACTGGCTGGTCTCTTCACAGACCTCTGGGGAACAAAATGGCATGATGGGGGCCCAGGATTCCTCAGGGAAACCTTGAAGGGTGTTTTCTTCCTCGAGAGGTCCGATGGCAGCATCCCAAGCTGCTCCCGTATCACCTCCTGGATGGTGGTGAGAAGTGGACACCGCCCACCAGTCTGGCTCCTCTGGGTGGGAAGCCCAGGAGGCCTCTGGGGAGAGCGGCTCTGTTTTAATTTGTCTTTTCATGGCTTGGCTGCAGCTTCCAGCCGTGGCCTGTTCCCTGACCAACCACGCCTGGCGCTGCCGCTCAGCAGAATGAGGGGCCGTGGCGCCGGCTGCCTGGGAAGTTCTCCAGTGTCATTGTGGCATCATCCATGTTGCATCCTGGTGACATCACGGTGAGGGGCCCATCTCCTGGCAGCAGGAAGTGGAAGAAAGAAGAAATGGGGAAATAGCCCCATTTTCTTTCGTTGGGGAAAAGAAACTTCTTGGTTTTGACCCCAGAAGCAAATCCAACTGTACTTGGCCTTTGGCGTGTCCTGCGAGGGCTGTGCTGTGTCCCCTTGCCCTGGGAGCTGGTGCCCAGGGAGCGATGGGGGAGGCTGCAGCGTTGGGCATCAGAGTGCCCAGACCTGAAGTTTTTTCCCTGGGCACCTTTTCCCCGTGCAGAAATGCCTGTTCCCTCCTGTAAGGAATAAGCTGTGTGATTCCAGCAGCGCTGCTTCTGTGGTGGCTGCCTGTGGTCCCCAGGCGATGCCCTCAGCTTTCAGCAGGCTCTGCGTGCTGCTGGGTAGGATGGCCTCCAAGTGAAACGTTACCTAAATACATCTTGCAGTTGGAATAAACTGGTGCTCTGCCCCTGCCCCTTTCTTGGGTTGGGTTCCTCTGCTTTGCTTTGCTCTAGAACCTCTAGAAGCCAAACCAGGAAACCCCATGATGTTCTCTCAACCTTTTGTCAAGCCATCAGCTTGGTCCTCTGAGTTGGAGGAGCACGACTGCGAGAGCAGGGACTTTCCATTCGTGGACAGTGAAATTGTAAGGGACCGGTTGTATCAGCCAAACGTTCCTAAGTCCATGGGCCTTTACCCCAGAGTGCTGAAGGAGCTGGTGGATGTTCTGGCAGGACCCCTCCCAATCACCTCCCAAGAGTGTTGGGAGTCTGGGGAGTTCCCTGCTGACTAGAAGCTGGCCAGTGTCCTTCCCATCTACCAGAAGGGTGTGAGGGAAGAGGCAGGAAAGTAGAGAGCTGTTAGTCTGACCTCAGTACCTGGAAAAATGATGGAGATGATGCTCCTGAGAGGCATTTAAAGAATAATGCCATCATCAGGCACAGTCAAGTTGGGCTCACCAAAGGAAAGTCCTGTTGAGCTGCTCTTTGACAAGGTCACACCCGGTGGATGAAGATGGTGGATGTAGTTTTTTTTGGATTTCAGTGAGACTTTTGGAGGTGTCCCTCCTAGCATTGGAGGAGCACAACTGTGTGGGAATGGTTCAAAGCTGCAGCAGGAGAGGTTCAGGCTGGACATTAGGAAGCATTTCTTTGCTGAGAGGGTGGTCAAACCCTGGAAGAGGCTTCCCAGAGGGGTGGTGGATGCCCTGTGCCTGTCAGTGTTTAAAGAGGTGTTTAGACAATGCCCTTAATAACATGCTTTAACGTTTAGACAATGCCCTTAATAACACGCTTTAACTTAGTTAGCCCTGAAGTGGTCAGGCAGCTGGACTGGATTATCATTGTAGGTCTGGTCTGGTCTGGTCTGGTCTGGTCTGGTCTATTCTATTCTATTCTATTCTATGAGTGGGACCAGTTTGCTGTGCTGCAAATGTAACCCCAAGCTGGGAGGAAGAACCTTTACATTTAGTCACAATCCCAGATAAATTAAGATAGTAAAAGAAGACAAAATTTTAAATCAAAGAAGCGGACCCCAAAAAGTTCCGTACGATCCATGCAGGATTTCCACATAATTGATAAAAATACTTGTGAATAAGGAGAAAATGTGTCATTTTTGTCAAAAGAGGGCAGACATGCAGGTCAACCCTAGATCTTCATGCAGTGGCAATTCCCCCAGGGATCTGAATTAGAATTAGGATCCCCCTGTCACCTCACGCTGCTGCTCCTCAGCACAGAGACAATTCCTGGCTTACAGGCAGGCACCCTTGTACCAAGATATTGTAGCCTCCAGAAAAGTTTAGGGAATATTTTTCTCTTCTGCTCCTAGTGATAAAATTCTTACCCATCTATTGCAAAAGGGTTCCCCTAAAGTAGCTGGAGAACTGAGAAGTTCTTAATAAAACCATTAGCTGTGTGCTACAGACTCCAGTCACTCTTCAGGGGCCAGATACAAATCTCAATTATAAGCTGGAATAATTTCCTGGCACTCAGAGGGCTTACACTGGTGTACGACTAATACGAGCCAGAACTTCATCATAAAGCATCACGGCCACATTAACTCTCACCATTTACACCAGTCCAGGGGTTGACTCTCAGCATTTTAGGGTTTGGCCAAGAGAGAAAGAAATGCAATTGAGCGGGGGCTCTGTTTTTCAAACCAATTTCTTACTAATGGATTTTTTTCCCTTCCATTTAATAGACAGTCCTCTCTTGTGCCTGTATCTGATTGAATGAAATATTCCTGCACTGTGTAATATCCCTGCCTGGCCCCCCGGGTCATGGAGAATGCATTTCCTACAGGATGGCACAACCTACCTCACTGCACAGCCTGGAGGGTGAATCCCAGGAGATGGGATGATGACTGGGAGAGGACTTCTCTTTAAAGCTCGTCCCTTTTAATAAGACATGGGAATTTTGAATTCAGCCCTGGGAAAGCAGTACGTTAGGTGAGATCCATGGTGTTGCAGCTGGTTGGCAGCAGGAAGGAGAGCACTGAAGGTGCCTGCCCCGACGCTAGAAAAGGGAGGTTCCTGTGTGCAGTAAATCTGATTCCTCCACGGGTAAGAGAAGGTGCAGTGAGAGCAGGTTTGGGGAGATACCACCATGTGTACATCAGCACAGGAAGGACATGGACCTGTGGGAGCGGGGCCAGCAGAGGGCCATGGAGATGCTGGGAGGGCTGGAGCCCCTCTGCTGGGAGGGGGGGCTGAGAGAGTTGGGGGGGTTCAGCCTGGAGAAGAGAAGGCTCCAGAGAGACCTTAGAGCCCCTTCCAGTCCCTCAAGGGGCTCCAGGAAAGCTGGGGAGGGACTCTGGATCAGGGAGGGGAGCCATTGGATAAGGCGGAATGGTTTTAACCTGAAAGAGGGGAGATTTAAATTAGATACCAGAAAGAACTTGTTTGGTGTGAGGGTGGTGAGAGCCTGGCCCAGGTTGGCCAGAGAAGCTGTGGCTGCCCCATCCCTGGAGGGGTTCAAGGGCAGGTTGGAGGGGGCTTGGAGCAACCTGGTGTGGTGGGAGGTGTCCCTGCCCAGGGCAGGGGGTGGCACTGAATGGTCTTCAAGGTCCCTTCCAACCCAAATCAATGATTAAGCAACATTTGCACTGATGGTTTCTCATCCACTCCCTGTGCAGGAGCAAAGGGGAATGCCCAGGGACGCCCCATCACGCACAGGGACCAGCTTGCAATTGGGAATGACATGGGGACTAGGATGGATGGTGCCTGGGTGGGGAGGGTGGGAGCAACGGGTGCAAGATTCTGTGGGAAGCAGGGTGGTGAAAAAGCTGAAAGCTGAGCTCTAGAAAGGATCTGCAGGTTACTCGTCAGGTCTCTCGTTATGGAGACCACTAACAATTTGCTTTCTCTCTAGGGAAAGAGGGATGTAGGACCAAAACTGTGATGCTAAGGGGTCCTTTCCCTCAAAGCCTAATCCCCTGTTCATGATGGCAAATCTAAGTTAAAACTTTAGCCTGGCCTGAATGAAACAACTTGTTTTCTGGTGA